TACAAGTCCAAAAGCCAAAGTCCCACTGGACACATAGGGATTAATTCATCACAAAATCTGTCTTCACGCACAGGGACACAGGGTCCAGGCCAATCAATCTGAGTTGTAGGATCTATCCTGAGGACCTGGCTATGATCCCAGCGAAGTCCTCTTAGGATTTGAGTAGAAGGATCCAAGAGGGTTAGTTCTCAAGGATCTTATCTCCTCTGTCGAAGAATAATCATCAGCTGTCACTCCTGGCTTCATTCTTCTGAATTGTGTCTGGCAGGACCCTGGCTTACTTCCCAAGCACTGAGACATAACTCTGGTCACCTCTGGGGTCCTCTAGTTCTCTCTGTGGGCACACCATCAATAACCTTTTGGATCTCTGTTTAAACACCATTTCCAGCAAGCAGGACCTTGGTGGAATATTATTAGCACAGCTTATCACACCGTGGGCTAAGTGTCCCTCAGCTTGTCCGTGTCTCTCAGTGGGGATGCTGTGGGAGAGGCGCTGCGTCTCCTTCGCTTTTTCTCCACATTCTGCATGAGGTCCAGCAGCCAGGGAAGTGCTGCTGGAGGTCCGAGGGATGGAGATGTAGCCGAAGACACTTTTATCTTCAGGCTTCTCAGTTCCATCTCAGCTCTGTCAGCAGGGTTCCACAGGCTCTTTACACGGGGCTCCCTCTTGACTTGGTTTGTCCCCCCCCCCCCCCCCCCCCCCCCCCCCCGACAATTTCAGTTGATGACATCCGGTCAACCATCTTGGCTCGTGAGCCTTGCTGAAAGTGGTGGTGAGTCAAGCCACTCCTTCAGAAGACCGTGGGACCCATGCTCAGCCCTAGGATGCGGCTTGATGGGAGAGACTTGGGTAGACCCAGCTTCCCTCTTGCTGAGGGGAGCCAGTGGAAGCACCGAGACTCCAGAGCTGGGGAACGGGCCCAGATCATCTTTGGGTCATGTGTGTTTCAGGCTGTTGCTTGAAGCCCCATCTGTATTGCAGTCTCCAGCCCCACCCCCACACTTTCAAACTTAAGCACTCACATAGACCTCTCTGCTTTTCTCCCACCTGACTCTAACTCTTAGAACTTAGAGTGAGCCCTTCATGCCACCAGCACAATCTCTGAGCCCCTGCCCTCGGCCTCACCTGGTAGTCCTTCACCCTATTACCTTCACTGAAATCTGGTGGGAAGTCAGCAGCTGCTCTAGCCCTTTGGCATCCAGAATCCAGCTTCTCTGCGGCCATCTTGCTTTAAGACCTACAGGATACCGTCTCTCTGTGGTAGTTCCTAACTTCTGCTCCCAAACTCCTCAGAGACCTTCTCTGCTGGGTGACTCTTCCCTAGATGTTCTGGGGTGGGCTCTAGGTCTACATGGAGGCATGGGAGAAGGGGCAGAGGGGCTGCGAGAGAGGGAGGTCTCGAAGCGGGTCAGGGTGTAGTCTCGAGTTAGCGGGGCGTCTTGAGCCTGTACCCAGGGAGCCTGGGGAGGAGCTGGGGCAAGTCATGGAGGAAGAGAAGAGCAAGGGGTTTGTGTGGAATTGCTGAGAAGGTAGCTTTGGAGGATGGGCAGGCTGCCAGTATTCTAAAGGGACCTGGTGTCGGGTTGCACACCCGCCCCGCCCCCCCCCCCCAGAAGCTGGCTCTGGCTTCTCTGAATCCCTGTCTGGCCTCCTCCATTCCTCACTGTCTCTGTTCACTCTTTGCTAGGTCTTCATCTTTTATTTCTGTCCTAGAACAGAAGTGAGTGCTCTCTCCTAGCACAGAAGTCCAAGATTTTCTGAGATCAGCCTGGACCTTTATGGGATTTGAAAAGGAAGTAGAGGGTGAAAACAGTTAGTTTAGGGTGGAGACAGATGGTGAGGGGGAGGCGAGGGAAGAGTTACAGCAGGGTGCCTCTCAGGAGTGGGACCTTCTTCCTTTGCTGAGGGTGAGGCCCAGAGAGGCACAGGACTGCAGGCCAGTCTCAAAAGGTGGAAACACTAGGCTGGATCTATGTCTGGTCCCCTTACCCCACCACCCTGCTCCCAAGCCCCTGTGGCATAGGGCAGGAAGACCTACAGCTTTGTTTATAGGCTCCAGATTGCAAGCAGGTGACAATTAGGCTTCAGTAGGTCAAGGGGGACCAAAGATGATGCTCTATTTTTTTCTTGCTCTGGGAAACCTTCTGTGATCCCCTCAAAAGTATTTTTCTAGAAGCATCTACTAATAGCTCCTTATTCTTTCTCAACTCCTCTACCTCAGCCTCTTTGAAACTCCACAATCCCTTCCCCTGTAAATCTGTCTGATGGGCCTCATCTTTCGGCGACAGAACTCCACTGGTTACTCATAGCTTCCTGCATCTGGAAGCTTCCTTAGGCTGTGAGCAGGTGGTAGAGCAGGACTTCAGAGGTTACATTTGTTGTGGGATCAGGTTGCTTCATCCTCTTTCATATGGGCTCATGCATTTTTGAATCCCTCCCTCAGATATTGGGTATATCAGTATGTACCACTAGTATGTTTCCAGAGTGGAGCCAAACCTGGATTTAACGGGGGGGGGGGGGGGGGGGGGGGGGGAGGCTGGTATCTTTCTATACCATAAATTCTCATTTTTGATTACCTTGAACCCTCTTGATCATACATTTTCACCCATGTCTTAACCACAGCTGCACATTCTTTGGACTTAAATCCCAAACTTAATTCAAACTCGTTTGTAACAAATCTTAAATCAGTTTCAACTCAGCCTTGGATTTACCTCAATCTGTATTCCTAAGCATATCTGCAAATGACACTGAAAGTGAATTCTTTATCATAGCACAAAGCCCAGCCTTGACCCCTAGCTGCACTTCCAGCAGTCATTCTAACCTGAACACTGACCTTAACTTCAATCCAAGCCTCAAACCTGACCCCAACCTCGTCCATAATTTCAAATAACCCTGAATTTAACCCCAGGGGCAGCCATCACGGCACCTTAGCTCAAATCCAGAGCTCAAATGAATGAGCATATACCTCGATTTAGTGGACCCACAGCTCTACCCCTTTCCATTTGGTTTCTCTCTCTTCCTGGTCCTGCCTGCTTTCCCCTCCACTCACCACTGACCTTCCACCCTTCCCTCCGATGGGTAGTAGTCCATCCAGCCTTCTTTTGGACCACTCAGGGCTGAGAATCATGGTGCCTGCCTGTCCCCTACTCAGCCGGTAGCTGCGACTGAACTGAATTTTTGTTTCTCCGGGCTTCTGTTTCCCTACCTGTAGAATGGGGATAATGACCCCTGTTTTCCAGAAGGCTCAGAACAACCCCATAAATCTCAAAATAGATAAGGAAGTAAGGATAGCCACTGTGTAGATCTGGTGGGCCCTCGAGCAACCTGTTATTGTTGGCAGGTTGGGTAAAAGGGTTTGGAACACAGAGCCGCGTGGACTCCTTATGCTTCCTCATTGTTCTGTCTTATTCTTCCAAGGGGGTGGGCCCTGGCAGCACTCCTGAACCCCATAACTCTCCTGAAGACTCTTCCCCCTCTGCCCTTCCTGAGTCCCAGGTCAGCTGTGGAGAGGGCTCTGGGATCCCTTGTGGGAGCCAGGCTGTAGAATGAGGCTTCCCGGTGACTTGCCTCCTGTTGGATGGTGCTGGGATCGAGGGAAGGTTAAGGAACTGTTCTGAACCCATAGATCAGCCAACAGCAGCTGGCCTTCCCCCTTCTGCTGGCTAAGACCCTCCCACCCCAGCTTCTACCTAACCGCCTGGAACTGTGATGGCTTAGTCACCCTGATGACTGTAGTTGCCCAGTGGACAGTCCAGGCTTTGAGGGTCTTGGTTCTTAGGAAATTATGACCCTTGTTAACACTGGGCCTGCATCAAACCTCCAAGGCCTGGCTGAGATCCCAAGAAATCCCCGAAGAAAGCACACAGCCGAGCTCAGCCCTTCTCCTACCTTCATGCCTGCGAGAGATGCACACACTCACATGACCTCTTGCCCTGCCCACCTCAAACATTCCCTCACCCTTTGAAGTCCCTCACTCCCCCCAAATGCCCCGACTCCTCTTTCCTTCTTCTTTGAGCCTTGGTAAACTGATTTAGATTTGTGTGGGAGGTAGGATCTAGACCCATCATAGCACCCCCTGCCCTCTCTGGGGTCCTGGAACTTGGGGATGACCTTTGTGTCAACAAGGATGGAGAAGCGGTAGCAAGGCAAGACCCTGTTCTTACCCACCCCCTTTCTCTCCCTCATCAGCTCAGGAGGCCCCACTCTCTTTGAAGGGAAAGAGAAAAGCTACATTCCAGTATCCCCTGTTACCTGGGCTTTCTCTCCAGGCCTAGGTCTCAACATGGGAGAAGCGCCCCTTCTCTGGTGCACTGTCTTTAATATCTGACCTGGAGGATCCCCCCACCCCCCGACACCCCGAAAGCAAGAGGTGCTTGAAAGGGTTAGGACTTGGAAATCTGGGTCTGAAATGGGGGAGCATGTCAGGCTCTGGGGTGTCTTTGGTCAGTGTTAATTCTCCAAATCCTGGCCATCCTTCCTCCCCAAATCTGGCTTCTCCTTCCTCTTTCCCCCAGGGAAGTAGGCAACAAATGAGTGGTGAGTGGAGCTCCGTGGACGCTGTAAAATGGGGCAACTGTTGTCACCCCGAGGACTTGGTCAGGAGGAAATGGAGGTTTAACAGGTGCCTAATTACAAGTCCCGCTGGTCGCTGTGCACTACTCTTGGGACAGGGAAGAGCTTGGGTGAGGGCTGGGTAATGCCTGGGTAGGCCACCCTGTCACCCTGCTAATTAGGGCTACTTGGGCTCCTCCCCAAGGCGGGGACCAGGCCCCCTCCCTCCTGTAGAAATAACTCCGGCTGCTCCTTAGCCTGGCACTCATTGCACCTTCCTGCCACCCCGGGCAGTGTCTGGGCCCTCCGCTCCCCCTCCCTCCACCTGCCCCATCCACCCACCACCACCAGCCCACTGGAGCCCAGCTCAGGCGGAGGAAAGATCAAGCCTGGAGACATGGGAGTTCGAGGAGCATTCCATCTACTACTCGTGTGCCTGAGCCCAGGTATGGGGCTGGGCAGAGGCGAGGATGCCCAGTATTATGCCAGAAGGTCAAGGGTGAGCAAGGGCTCACAGAAGAGCCTTAAAGATGGTCTAAGAGTCACTGGCAGGGACTGTCTACCTTCACTTTGCTGACACCGATTTGGATACTGCCAAGGGAGCTTCTCCCCAGGACAGCCTGTGCCCGAAGGCTTGGGACAGTGTCTGTGTGCAGAGGCCTCGGAATAGATCTTCATGATCTAATTGACAGTTCGAGTAGCTCATATATGTGTGCAAGGGCCCTTTGTGATGTTTCCATGCTGGGAGATGGAGACAGGGCTTGCTTGGAGATACGGAGTTAGTTGTGGGCATTGCAGGTGGGGTATGAGTCAGGTGAGCAGCAGCTCTGGGTGGGGGCTGAGGAGGAGCCTGGCAATGATCCGTTTCGTTCAGACAGTCGGTGTGTTCTTCTCAGTGGAAGGGTCAGCTCTCCCAAGCCAGAGCACTGGGCAGGAAAGCTGTTTGCCTTGAAAGGGCTCCACATGCTGGGTTGCTTCCATCATAGGCAGTAAGAACCCAGGCCTAGGACCTCTGGTCCATGCCCCATGTGCTGTGGGAGTCCATAGGTGATGCCTCTTCTGGGATGAGGCTGAGAGGATGTGGACAGGATGGATGGTAAACTCCCAGAGCCCCCTTCACCTCTCTAGGGCATGGCTGGAAGGCAGGGTTCACAGGTTTGGATACTATGGCTGTCTGCCTGGGGCCTGGGCAAGTCCTAGCAAGGGACGTTCTATTAAGTATTGCTGAAATTAGCATGGAGCCCCTCCTGGGGTCTAGATGTAGGATGAAGGGTATGAGGAAGGAGACCGAGAAGGGGGACTGTTTCATCCTGTTTCTGTGTATGGGAATGTGCGTGCCTGTGTGTGCACATATGTGTGATGGCTGTATTTCTGGCAAGATGCCTGCTGCACCCTTTCTCTGCCGAGGGCCTCTCGGGCAGTGCCCACTCAGGAAGCCCTGGCTGTGCCAGGAGAGTTGGGGGCATCTCCGTGTGTGCCGTGTGTGTGTGTGAGGGTGTGTGGGCTAGATGCTTCCTGTGCCGATACTTTCTGAGCTGCCTTTTTTTTTTTTTCTTCTCTCTTCCTCTTCCAGTCTGAAATCAGTTTGAAAATTCAGAATAGATTTCTTAGCTGAGAACAGACACTTGGCCGAGGTGACGTTCCCCATACAGGGTGGCCAGCCCTGGTGATTTTATAAGGGACAATCACTAGTTCCTTGGACAGCCCCTTGACTTCCCAGTGTCCCTCTCTCCCCAGGTCTTGCCTAGGACTCTTTCCTATACCGACTTTCTTCCTGGTTCTTCTCTCCGCGCAAGCTGCCTTCTTCTCTTACATTCCCTGGAAATCCTTCCCCAGCGCCACAGCAAGATAAACCAGGGTGATATGCCAGGAACAACTTCCCAAGGGCTGGGAGGAGGTACGAAGAGGCTGCAACCCTAGGGAGGAGGCTGAGAAAGCATCTAAGGAGGCTGAGGAGCTAGGGTGAGGCTCCTTGTCCTGGGACCATTGAAGCAAGACAGTCTAGCGCAGGGTGGAGGCATTCTCTTCCAGCTTATTCCTCCTGCCCAAGTCCCTTTCTCTAAATACTTACCCTCTGTCTGGCTGACATCCGTGGTGTGGGGAAAGGGAATCCTCCCTGTCGTCATCTTTTTCCAGTGGCTCATCTCCAGGGTGGAGCTTCTGCTCTCAGGTGAATTCTGGCTCATCCCTGGCTTGCCTCTAGCCACCTCAGGATCTGGCAGATAGCATCAGGATCCTTATCTGGAATGAGCTGGTATTCTCTTGGCCTAAGGCTGGAGGAGGCATCTCCAGGTCCCGTTAGAGTCCCAGAAGCCAGGCTACCTGTTGGAGGATAACTCAGAGTCTATCGGATGAAATGGGCTAGCCATGGTTCAGAGGGGCAGGTCCGGTGATGCTTGAGATGTTGGGGGAAATGTTGGGGCCCTCACTAGCTTCTCCAGAGCCAGGCTACACGCAGAACTCAGGGCTTCTGCAGATATGTCTGGTCTTGAATGGACGCGCAGGAAGCCACAAAGCGTGCAGTGGGTGTGTCATAGATTAATGTGTACTCTGCCTGTGAATGTGTGTCTGTGTATAGGTCCGATAATCTGTGTGTAAGAAAGTGGGAACTGCATGGGCATATATTCACATTTTGAGGGCTTGAAAGGACATGCCTGTGTCTATTTGTTCAGTACAGTGTATACCTCTGTGTGTGTGTGTGTGTGTGTGTGTGTGAGAGAGAGAGAGAGAGAGAGAGAGAGAGAGAGAGAGAGAGAGAGAGAGAGAGAGAGAGAGAAGAGTGGGCTGGAACCTCAAAGAGCAAGTTTACTCAAAACGGCCATCAGTAGAGAAGCTTGGTGAGGGGCTTTGTAGAGGGAGTGTTGGAGAGACTGTGGAGGTAGGGAGCTGAGTGTCTAGGGTGGAGTCCTGGGCTCACTCCCCCCTTGTTCTTGTCTAGGTCTAACCGGTTGGGGCTAGAGCTCGCCTGAGGCTTCAGGGTAGGGAGGGGGAGGAGCTCCCTCCTAAGCTTCCTGATCCTGGCTCCAAACTCAGGGTTCCTGCTCTGACTCAGTGGCAGGAGGGGCCCCAAAGGGAGCAAGCAAGTGGGAGCAGCTCTGCTGGAACCACACAATCACACAAGGAGGACACACAGCCTACAATGGTACACTTTGCCATACAAGGTTCATTCTACAGATATAAGCTGCCGTAGACAAAGACATGCACATGAATGTGGCCAGGCTCTAGGTTACAGCTGCCCACTGTCAGGCAAAGGTGTATGCTGTCACTTAGAACACTTATATAGTCAGCATACACTATCATACATATCACACACACACACACACACACACACACACACACACACACACACACACACACAGAGATATACCTAGTCTTATGCTTTTCAGGATGGAAAAGGATCCCAGGAGTCACTGTATCCACTCTCCTGCTTCTTGCTGGAGCTCTTCACTTGACCCAGATAAGGCCCAAACCCAGCCCATACAGGTAGCTTTTAAACAGCCTGTTTCTTCCAATGGAACATTTAACAACTTCGGGTGTTTCACGCATACACACACACACACACACACACACACACACACACACACACACACACACAAATTGCCTATGCCATCATGTAAATATATAGGTAGATATACTACATGGTCATGTGCATGAATATCTTTGCAGCTACAAAGGCTCATAAACATATGATGCACATTTGTGCACATATATTCATACATTCAAATGCACAATTGTGTATACACATAAATATAAGAGCTATATGTATGTAAACAGTATTCAAATGCACATCTACAGAAACCTAGAATATATACACAAGTTCACAAGGATGCCCAGAGACTGCCATATGAATAAACAAACAATATTAAGTATTGCTTATGCCAGTACACACACACACACACACACACACACACACACACACACACACACACACACACACAGGGGCAGCCCCTCATTCCTATAGACGCTCCACTGAGTTCTGGCTGACAGGTAGCAGAGTGGTTGAGATTGACTGCTCAAGCACTGTTCACATCTCCTCACCCACTTTACCCTTCCCCAGCACTGCTGTCTGCTGTAAGGATCAACGGGGATGGCCAGGAGGTCATGTACCTGGCGGAAGGTGACAATGTGAGGCTAGGCTGCCCCTACATGCTGGATCCTGAGGACTATGGTCCCAATGGTCTGGACATTGAGTGGATGCAAGTCAACTCAGAACCCTCACATAGGGAAAATGTGGTAAGTGTTTGGCACAGGATCCTCTATCCTCCGTATACTCTGTGATGTCAAACCTGACGGGAAGCCAACATCCTGAGGGAGAAGGAAGAAGGCCAGTGAGGAAACCAAGGCTTTGAACTTCCTCCAAGGTCTCTCCGGGAATGAGACAACAGGGAAAGAGCTGTCCAACTGGGAATCAAGCCAGACAGATTCCACCTCCCTCTACTCCACATCAAGGGAGATTAAGTGTGGCCCCTGCCTTTAGAAGTTCCTAGTCTGACCTTTTATTGGTCTAGAATATCTAATCGCATTAGCTCTTACTTGTTCTATAAGAGAGCAGTGTGCTCGACACCATCCTTCCCATTTTTTCAGCTGAGAAAATTGAGTCTTAGAGAAGATCAGTGAATTACCCACTCAACCCACATGACCCTCCTTGGCTCAGTTTATCTCGACAGCTCTGTCTCCCTCTCTTCTTCACAGTTTCTAACATATCAAGACAAGAGGATTGGCCATGGCAACCTCCCCCATCTGCAGCAGAGGGTCCGCTTTGCAGCCTCAGACCCCAGCCAGTACGATGCCTCCATCAACCTCATGAACCTGCAGGTATCTGACACAGCAACCTATGAGTGTCGGGTAAAGAAGACCACCATGGCCACCAGGAAGGTCATAGTCACTGTCCAAGGTACGACCCGATTCTTCTGGGCTCCCCTTCCCCGGGCTTCAGAGTCAAGGGCGGGTTGGCTCTGTCTTTCGGCTGGGTCTGGGTTTATAATTGCCTGCCTTGTTACAGCACGTCCTGCGGTACCCATGTGCTGGACCGAAGGCCACATGTCCAAGGGCAACGATGTGGTACTGAAGTGCTTTGCCAATGGAGGCTCTCAGCCCCTGTCCTACAAGTGGGCCAAGATCAGTGGGCACAGCCACCCCTACCGAGCCGGTTCCTACCACTCCCAGCACAGCTTCCACTCTGAGCTTTCCTATCAAGAGTCTTTCCACAGCTCCATCAACCAAGGTGAGGGGGCCCAGCTGAGTGAGAGGGAAGATAAGTAGTGGATCGGGAAAGGGGGCCTGCTGGGACTTCCATGGCTTGTCAGTGGTACCAAGTCTATGAGAGGCTGCTCATCTGGGCATGTCCCAGCAGCTGCTATTGAGGGAAGGAGAAAAGGTATGAATGGGATGTCAGTCAAAAGCAGCATGATTAGTTTGGAGAGAACATGGTCCAAGGAAGAGCTGGGCTTAAATCCTGGCTAGGATGCTGGTTGGTAGTAAATCTCAGGCAAGTGGCTTAACACCTCTGTGACAGGTGAAAAGAGGGAATACTTACTAGTAACTACCACTCACTGGCAAGTGAGGATTGGATGCTCCTCCTAGCGTTTAGAGAAGCTGAATAATATAAGGGGGCCAGTGCTCAGACTCAGGATGTATTTCCCTGAGGTCACAGAGAATTAAAGGTGACTCTGTCTTCTTTCTGAGAGAGGGACCCTTCCCTGTCTTTCTGTCTCAGCAAGGGGAGTATTTAGATTTGAGTGGACTTGTGAATGCTTGCATCCACCTTCCTTGTTTTGTTAGAGTGGTATTCCATCCTCCATCCCACAGGGGCTGGGCAGGGTAGGAGCCTCAGAGATCAGGCTTCTCTGTCTCACTGTCCCTCTGACGCTCTTCCAATTTCAGGCATGGGCAATGGGGACCTGGTGTTGAAAGGTGTCAATGCGGATGATGATGGGCTGTATCAGTGCACAGTGGCCAACCATGTGGGCTACAGCGTCTGTGTGGTGGAAGTGAAAGTCTCAGGTAGGTACAGCAGCCCCAGAGTCCCCTGGCTGGGAGGGCTGGAATGCAGGTACCTAGACTTTATCTTGGAGCCTCAGCGGGTTGCCTCTCCACTGCTCTCAGGCTAGGCCTTTGTCTAGAGCAGCTGGAAGCCATCTGCAGATTCGCTTACCCTTTACCTTCTCAAATCTTCCTCGCTGGACTTTCCAGGGCCCTGGGTTCTTTCCCACAAACATTTGCCCTGGCATGTGCCAGACTGTCAGAAGCCTGATTGCCTCCCCGTCTCTCCACAGACTCCCAGCGTGTAGGCATGATCGTCGGCGCGGTGCTGGGCTCTTTGCTCATGCTGGCCTGCCTGGCACTAGGCATCTGGGGGCTCATCTGCTGCTGCTGCGGAGGCGGCGGGGCTGGTGGTGCCCGCGGTGCCTTCGGCTACGGGGTCGGCGGCGGGGTCGGCGGCGGGGCCTGCGGCGACATGGCTAGTGAGATCAGGTAAAACCTGATGCATGCTGCATGCTGCTGCACGGCGGGGGACCGGCGCCCTGTCCTCTTCACCCTTGTCTGCCATCGGCCGGCTGGGAACCCCACCCCAAACCTGCCCTACCATCGCCATGGAGTGCTGGGACTGCAGCATGTCGACCTGCCCACTCGCCGCATGGCTTTTCTGTCTTCCCCCGCTTCCAGTCTTCACCTCTGCTCCCTGCCTTCCCTTTTCTTTCTGTCGTCTATGCATCCCTCGGTCTGTCTGGCCTAGACTGTAAGCTCCTGGAGGGCAGGGACCGTGTGTTTTTACCTTCCCCTTGTATTGCGCCGGCAAGAACCTCAACATGCCTATTTAAGAAGAGGTAACATCGGTAGTGCGAATAACTTATATTAGAAGCAAACTAGAAATAAAAATAGAACAAGAGTAGCAGTGTTAATGATTGCAATGCCTTGGGGACAGAGGGAAAGAAGAGCGAGGGCCAGGAGGCGACGAGAGCTTGCCAGAGCGCAGGGTGAGGGTTAGTCGAGGAAAGGAGGGACACTAAGACTCCCTTTCCAGCCAAACACTAGAAAGGGACCGAGGGCGCCTGACTGAGGCTGCCTGCCATGAGCTGCTGGACAAGCGGGTCTGAAGGATGAGGATGGTGGCATGGGGGCGCTGCAGGGTCGCTGGCCCGGGAATGTACAGAGAGGAGAGTAGGTTGAGAGAGACAGAGAGGTGAGGGGCAGGTGGAAGGGGGCGCGGGAGATGAGAGGTTGCCAAGAGCCCCCAGCTCTGCCCAGGCCGTGCCAACGCCGCGCCGTGGAGGAGCCAGCTCACGCGCCCGCCTGTTGTTTTCCAGAGTGGACGCCGAGCCGCCCGGGTGCAAGGCCAGTGGGCGCGGCAGCCGCGTCACCCATCTCCTGGGGTACCCGACGCAGAACGTCAGCCGCTCCCTGCGCCGCAAGTACGCGCCTCCGCCCTGCGGCGGCTCCGAGGACGTGGCCCTAGTGCCCCGCACAGCCTCCGCAGCCTGCGAAGCGGGCCCTTCCCCCGTCTACGTCAAGGTCAAGAGCGCAGAGCCGGCCGGCTGCACCGACTGCGCCCAGGTCGAGCAGCGGTCGTGCAAGGACGGCCTCTTAGTGTGAGCGCGCGGCACCGGGCTGCGCCCCGGCTGGCAGGCGGTTCGGGGCTCTCCGCCCGCAGCTGGGGACAGGCTCGGGCAGGCGCAGACCTGGCTCTCACCGGCCGCTTGGCGGCAGAGAGTTCAGGGGAACTTCCCTCAGAGATGCCTGGGGGACAGAGCCTTCTGTAGCTCTGAACTAGGAGGGGGGCAGGGGACAGAGGAAGACAGTTCAGATAACCCTCCCTCACCCCTGGTCTCCAGGGAGAGGAAGGGAGGGAAGCAGTCGGTATCCCAGAACCGCAGAGGTACAAGCCAGGTGTCCCCAGCCACGGCAGAGGGCCCCCAGCCCTGGGAAGGTGGGGTTTCAGGACTGGATGGTTCTGTGTGTGAGATCTGAGCTCCGAGGCAACAGTGTTAGCACAATAAAGAAGCTTAAAGACGACACCCAGGTGGCTGTCCGGCGTTCCTCCGAGGGCTGGGCGGGCGTGGGATGGGGAGTCCTGACAAGTTGTTCCTTACTGTCTTGCCTCCTAGCTGAATCCTCTGCTTCCCCTTCCTGTAGGGAAGGCCGCATCTGAAAAGGGTCATCTAGTCCTATTCCTTCGCAGCACACATGGGAAACTGAGGTCCTTCAGAACGGACTTTTCCAAACTTGTGTTTCCCTTTTTATTCTAGAAGAGGGAACGAGTGTGTGTGTGTGTGTGTGTGTGTGTGTGTGTGTGTGTGTGTGTGTGTGTGTGTATGTGTGTGTGTGTGTGTGTGTGTGGTGGTGGTGGTGGTGTTAGAGGTGACCTCTACACGGTCCCTGACCATTCTTAGCATCCTCTTTTCTCCATCCATCTACCTAATCCGAACTTCTTTATTTCTCCCAGATGTATGCCTTCCTTCCCAGCAGCCAGGAAGGGATCTAAACCCATTCAGACTCTGTAACAGAAAGACCTGAGGATATCTAGCTCAAGCTTCTCTTTGATGGGAAGGTTAAGTGTATTAGACACCCACTAAGTTCCAGGTGCTTTCAAATGTTTTATTTTACTTCCTAACTTTAGCTCTGTGAGGCTGTGCATCATTCCTATCATACACAAAAGAAACCGAGATGCAGGGGGATTTATGTATCTCATCCGAGTCAAAGGGGGGGAAAAAGGCAACAATTCAGGATTTGGTCTAGGAGTATTTGATTCCAGGACACCAGGCTGTTCTCTGATAGCTGAATTCCTTCTGTAACATTCCTGATGAGGACTGTCCCAACCCACCCCCTTCTTGCCTACCTTCCGTGCTAGCTCACTGCCTCCCAAAGCTCGAGCCTTTGGTTGGGAAGATCTCATAGGAAGTTACTTCTATTGACTGTATGTACCTTTTATTCTTTGGTCCAAGGATCTACTTGTGGGGAGCCCAGAGCATCCTATTTCGACTCAGGTGCCTCTAGTGGACCACATGGTTGTGTTCCACCCAGGACACCTGTCTGGTGTTAGTGGGTTCAGGGATCTTCACAAGTTCACAGCACTGTAAAGCCAATTAGGTGTGCTTGCTTTCCCCAGGCACCTGCTAGCTGAGAGCCCAGATTCTTCTCTGGTTTCTCTTCTCCTCAGAAGAAACTGGTCATTCCTAATCTTCCTTCTCCTGTCCCAGGGCAACATAAAGTAGGTATGCATAAGGCTTAGAGTATCCTTCTTGGTAGTAAATAACCTGGAAACCCCTAAGATGGCTTGGGATTTGTCAAGGGGTGGCGGCGTTGTCCATTCTGCCTTGGCAGTCTCGGCAAGATAGATGAGAGAGAATGAATTCTGGGACAAAGGGAATCAAAGACTGTTTGCCTAGGGACTGGGAGATGGGCATTGGGGAGTGTATGGAGATGAAGGGGGAAGAGATTTAAGTAGGGAGGGAGTAGAGAACTCCAGAAGCCAGCAACCATTTGGTGGTGTTGATGAGTGCCTTTCAGATGACTTATTCATTCGTAGATAGAGTTAGCTTTTCAGCAGGGCGCTGTGCCCGGCACGCGGCACACTTTTGCCCTGAGGCAGGTGACTGATGAAGATATGAGGTAAAGGTGGTTCCCACTCTGAGGAACTGCCAGCCCAGCCTCCTGCAAGGTGGTGAGGGGCTGAGGCAGCCAAGTGGCTTACTGTTTGTGGTTTAGTGACATCCCACCCCCACCCCCAGGGGAATAGGGGAGTCACGCTTACATTCAGCTTTCGTTTGAGCAGTGGCAATGGTGAGGCTCTGGTGACAATTTCTGTTAGGGTGAGTCTAAGTGTTAAGTTAGGGGACGTTTCTAAGTGTACGGTGGAGGACCCTTACTTTTCCAACAATTGATCGTATTATAAGACCGTCTGGGTCTTTTTCTCTCATTTCTTCTGCTTGTAACCTGTTTGGTGTGTCAAGAGGGAACATGGGGTGATGCATGTTGAATAATGGATTTGGGGGTGAGCTGGACTGGAGTGGGGGGGGGTCACAGAAGCTTTGATTTGTAGCTGGGTTGCCAAATTTAGGTGGGCCATATCACCATTCTTGCTAGTCAGCTTTGATTCACTATGACAAACTCCTGAGATAATGAATTTTGAAAGAGGAAAAGCTGATTTTGACTCACAGTTTTGGAGATTTCTGTTCATGGTTGCTTGGCTTCCTCGCCTTTAGGCCTTTGTTGAGACAGCGCATAGTTGTGAAAGCACACTAGAGGAAGAGGTTCATTCCTTCGAGCTGGAAAGCAAAGAGCAAAAGCATGGGGAGGGATTGGACATGCCCCAAATGTCTTAACTTCCTCCTTCTCCCAATATTGGCAGAGACTGAAATCAAGCCCGCAACACCCAGGACTTTGGTTACTAATCTAAACTGCAACACCAGCCAAACAGCTGGCTAGGGGCATACACTGCCTCCAAGGGAAATCAGAAAGACAGTTCTGACTTACTGCTGTCTGTCTTTCTCCAGAGACTCAACTCGAACAAAGTCACCTGTTTCCATTCCTCTTTCCGATTCTGTCTTTTGCACCTCTTCCCAACCTTGCCAGGACTGAATTGTAGTTCTTTGGGTCACTGAAGAATTACGTAGGTAATCGACATCTCCTTAGTAACACACACCACTCTCTCCATAGCTATTAGAGACTCCATTCGGCATTCACAAAATTTTCATGAATTTTGCCTCCGGTACATCTGATTGTGGGGCATCTCTGCTAGAAATGCTTCTGAGTCTTCACATACTCAGCCCCTCTGACTTCCCTCCCCAGCCCTTAGAAAGGCAGAGAATCAATTCTCAAGCCTGTGGGGACAAGGGATCCTATGAATCACCAGCTTGTTCCTCCGAGGGTAACCATGGTCATCCAGCCTGACCATTGCATTTTTACTACCCTAGGTCAAGTCTAGGTCCAGCCAAACTCTCTCTCTCTCTCTCTCTCCATCTTTGCCTCCCCACTGTGTGTGTGTGTGTGTGTGTGTGTGTGTGTGTGTGTGTGTGTGTGTGTGTGTGTGTGTGTTCCCCTGCTGTGGTTAGGCTGTGGCCTGTCTGGAGAAGAATGACTGATCAAGACTTTAGATCTGTCTCCTAAGCTTCCTGGGGTCTTCCTCCTGGCTTGGTTCCCTGATTTAGTGGGAGCCTTGGAAAATCCTGCTCTCCGTTTTCCCATCTGAAACAATGATTTCATGTATTCCTGATGTGAGAAAACAAAACCAATTCCATTCGGTTCCTTGTTCTTATTTGCTAAATTAATTTTGTACAACAGTCTCTGTTTATGTAAAGTTGTAGAAGTCAAACAGAAAGGGATTACAGTGTACCTCAGGTAATGTGACCTAAATCACAGGTTGGCAAGTATAGCTTGAGGGTCAAATCTGGCTCGTGACCTGGTTTTATATATAAATCTTTATCAGCATCTCTTTATTCTTAGGGCAGGTGAAGTGGCAACTTTGGGAAATCTGGAGAGCTTTGGATTTGGTCACTGTGCCTACTGGTGGAGAGTAGACAAGATGGCCTGCTGGGCCTCTGTGGCCATTGCCCTTAGCAGACATTTTAGATGGGACACTGAGCAATAGCAGAGATACAGAAGTGCTGGACCAAGGCAAAGAGCTAAGCAGAGGAGGACTGGGGTCAAATCCTGAACTTATTTTCATCAAGGCTGAGTACAGTGATGGTGGGTCCTGTGTGGACTTGGGGAGTAGGAGAAAAAGAGGAGGAGTAGAACAATTGTAATGAAGGGTTGTGAGTTTTCCTTGTTCACATGTGCAAAAGGAGCCTGTGCTTTTAGAGTTGGATAGAACTAGATCCATAGCTATTGAGTGAGAAGGTTTCCAAAGTGTCAGTTTCTTAAATGGAACCTGGAGGTTATCTGATGTGATGTGCATATTACATACATACACACACACACACACACACACACACACACACACACACACACACACTCACCTATGTAGTAGGGACTCAGCAAGTGGTTGAGCCCTCTATATCTGATGTGTAATCTCATCTGCCACAAAAAGGCGGGCCTGGAAGCCTGGACCTAACCATACAGGGGTTGGGATGAAGGCTGGAGTGGTTGGAAGGTGCAGGGAGCGGTGTCGCTGTTTGTGGGTTCATGCGGATCCGTGGAAAGAAGACTCAGAGGCATCTTAAGAATGAATCTAGCCTTTCATGGCTGTCCGGAGGGTGTGGGTGTCCAGTCTCGAAGGACTGAACATCTTTCCTCTGCCTCATGCATTTTTATTTCTCTCCATTACAGTTTAGCCAGTTAATTTCCATATGTTCAAAACAACCTGAAAGGAGCTCCCAACAAAACAATGCCAAGTGCAAATTCCTCGATTTCTCAGGTGCCAAGGTTTTCTGAACTAAGCCTCCCAGGCCTTTGTATCCTTGGGAGACTCCAGAGACAAGATTCACATAGAGGGCAACAAGGGAAACAAAAGGTGTCTGCTAAACAAAAGGTGGACTAGGGCTGGGTGCTGCTCTCTGGAGCCAGGCCAGGTACAGCTCAGCAGGGATGCAGCCACAGTGGGGGGGATGCTTGGGGATTGAATTTAAGAGACAGTTCACCATCTGGAGGGAAGGGACAAGGAATTCTGCAAACAGCCAGTAACCAAGTAGGTGGACCAGGCCTAGCCTGTGAGGCTTGCAGTCCACTAATATTGACAACAATCCTCATTAATAACAGCGATACTAATAATTACAGGAAGTACCTGAAACACAAGCTCAGCAGGGGCCTGGACCAGCTTCCAGAATCCTCTGGTGCCTCCCGGGACCAGGGTGTGTCTTCCTAGTACTTAGGGCCACGCTTGCTGCCCTCTGGAGTGCCCACTGTAACCCTGAGCATGACAGCCTCTCCCTGGTGGTCCCTTCCTCCAGAAGGTTCTTCACACAGCTTTCAGCAAGGAAGAGCCTTCCCTACAGGGCAGGGTGGATGCAGATTAGCTGCTGCTGCAACTCCATCCCCCGCTGCACCCCCTCTCCCCCCGAAAATCAACTCAGTTCAG